CTGCATGGATTCCAAGGAACCAATCACAAACTATTTGTTATTTACAATCGCCGAGTTGTTTTTCATCACGTAACCCGTTCTAGAAAATATTTCTGTTGTATCAGTAGCTTTTGGACTGCGCACTATGCGTTTGCGTTAAACACCTCTTGCAAAGTTATAAAAGTTGAGAATGAAAACAATGAGTGGGAAGAGAAGAAAAATAAAAAATGCTCCATAGTTTCGGTCGTCAAGTTTATTCATTGGCTGAAAACAGACGTAAACATAACAACCTTTCGTTCGGCGGAAAAGCTCATTGTTCAATAAAGCTCTGGTGAAAGCACATCACTCCTTGCATTGTACAAGAATAGGTAACTGAGAAACTTTACAAATTAGGAAACTTTTCTTGACTTACGGTGTGGTCGAGAGAAGAGAGGAACTTCTATCGATTATGCTACTTCACGGAAGAGAAGTAAACGGTGGTTATGTTTGGATTTTCGGAACATTTGAAGAAAATTTTGGAAAGGTAAGGTTACTCTTCTCCAAACTTCCCTCGTTTTTCATAGCTCCATGAATGCATAGCTGACGTATGCCATACTATGGGCAGAATGCGTGTACGTCATTGGTTTTTCATAACCGATAAAGTGGCAAAAGCTGTCAAATTTGAAAGCGAGAAGAATGGGCCAAAATTGGTCAGTGCACTAGACTTCGTAAACTAACTCCCTTTTCTGAGTTTTAGAAGCACAGGATTTTAAATTAACACACGGATTTAAATTTATAATCTATCTACAAGGACATTCACGAGATAGAAGGATTAACCTTTTGCACTTGAAAATGCACAAAATTTGGTCGTCTTTAGCATCAAATTCATTTTCAAGAGCGATTTTCTGAAAATCCTCACCACCCACCAAAAATCAACGCATGGTAAATGGCAGTTTAACCTTCTCTTTCACAGAATCCGTTTCAGTAACGAAAATTGGCCGACGGGAGCCTTTATCCATTTCAGTTCGAAAATTTTTAGTCGAAGTTGCGTTTAGAAATGGTGCGTTTTGAGCGGGCGAGCCATTGTCTTCAACCCAGCCATGAATGGCAATTCAAAACTTTTGAGAAAGCCAGTGCACGCTAAATCTGAAATAAATCGTCTTTCAACCAAAACAAGTTCTAATGGAATTGAAAAAATTCAAAAACTTGTTCCCAGACTAAAGAGAAAATAGTCTTCGTGAAATGTACTCAGAAGTCAAAATTTTAGATGAGAATCGCGGTGCATACTTGGCGATCAGATTTCAAAGTCGTTGCGGGGTCGATCAAATAACTGCGTACTAAATGGAAAGGCAAAAATGACCTTGAAATATTTCGAAACAGAATTAAAATAAACACCAAACATGATATTCAGAAGCGAAAAAAGTCAGATTTGCTTATGTGTGTGCGACCCGCGCAAAATATCCACAGTGCTTGAATTGTTCCTTATTCGACTTTATGGCCAGAAAACTGCGGAGCGTTGTTTTAATTTGAAAATTCTGAAAGCTGTCAGATTTAAATTGCACAATATTTCAAGAAAGGTCTACCCCTAAAAAAAATATTTACCGGAAGAAAGGACGGACCGAAATTAACAAAGCTCCACTTTCGTCCATTCTTATTTCAGATCGCGCTTTGGAATCGTAGTTTTGTTCACTTGAAAGCTCTTTAAGTCGCTTGTAAAACTTGAAAGAAAATCGCTTTCCAAATCGAGTATCCTTCCCAATACCGTATTTATCCGAGTAAGGGCGCCCAACCTCGAATTAGCACCCACCCTAAAGGCAGAAAAAGTAAATAAGCACCCACCCCTTCTCCCTTCCCCTCCCACTCGGAAATATCGAATAACCCCATCCAGCAAGTTTTATATGGTTCCCAGGCCACAAACCCATTTTCCGACCTTTCGATTTCGCGATCGGACAGCAGTGGGAGGCAGCCCCAGAGAACTCACTTATTGGCTTGAACCAATTGAACTAATAAGAGACTTCGCGAAGTCGAAGTTTTCTTCAGAGTATATTTCCAAAACCTTGCTTTGTCGTATCTTTGTGTCCAATCACTTTTAAAGTTCGTGATTGTTTTTGGGCTTCTAAGGCTCTTTGCTTTTTTTTTTTGCAGGGCCCTTATTGATATCAGCATTCTATGCTGAAGAGGTCACTCTGGTTAAGTAACATTCATTATTAATATTATTATTGTTATTATTAAAACTGTAAAAACGAACGATAAAATCCGACGTAGTAGTCATGACCCATTGTCAAGGAAAATATAAAAGATCATGCAAATTACAACATAGAAAGCGTTTTTGGCGCAAAGAATTAACATAAGAGGGTGCGAAGATATTATAAAAATACTTTCACACGAATGGAGTCTGATTGCACGTTGAGATTTGGCTTTAACGCTCTTCCAAAAAGCATTTCGTACACTAAGCAGTCAAATTTTTTTTCTGCATTTCTTAAGCACTTCGAAACGCTTTTGCAGGTCCTGGGGTATTGTCCTGTGCATGTTCTTATAGTGCGGACGGCACAAAACGTGGACCCCCCCTTCTGGACTCCCTTCTAGACCCCCTTTTGGACCCCTTTCTGGACGCCTCTAACTAGATTAAGAAAGGATGAAAACAATAAATACCTGGTGGGACTTAGGAGGTCATCATCAAAGTGGCATTTCATGCTACAAACATTTGCCTGAATCTTCAAAAAGTGCCACTAGAAATGTTAATTCTCACGTGTGCTATTGTGGAATCCATTTTGTTTCTAAGTTAGAGTGGGGACCTCAGCACAAGGCTACAAAACTTCCGGTTTTTTCCTCTAATCGACCGATCAGATTATTCCACCATTTTGATTGCATCATCACATGTCCTTGGCTACCACCGCTGACCAAAATAATTGTGGATACCATACACAGAGCTCTATGGTGAAATGTTGAAGGTAAGGTGTGTGATTGTTTGGCAAGAATAGGTCGTGATTGTTTATCGATGACTTCAGGAATGTCGAGATTGCATACAAAATGCGAAAAACTCCCACACCTATTGTTTTCATCCTTTCTTAAGGGGGTCCAAAAGGGGGTCCAAAAGGGGGTCCAGAAGGGGTCCAGAAGGGGGTCCAGAAGGGGGGTCCACGTTTTGTACCGTCCCATGCAAACCTCTCTTGCTCTCACGCCAGTCTAAGTTTGGTCACGCGTGTTGTCGTCGCGGGAATGAATCAGGCAAGCGATTGACTGTCTTTGTACAAAATTTGTGCAACATACCCTGTCATCCGTTCCGTGTTTTAGGATTTGGAGTCATTTTCTAGCGTTCCGGGTTTTAGGATTTGGGGTCATTTTCCACCGTTCCGGGTTTTAGGATTTGGGGTCATTTTCCATCGTTCCGGGTTTTAGGATTTGGGGTCATTTTCCGCCGTTCCAGATTTTAGGATTTGGGGTCCTTTTCCGCCATTCGCCATTTCACCGTTCCAGCTTTTAGGGTCGCCCGGAAAAGTGTGTCCAAGATGAAGATAAACGATGTGCTCGATCAAGCATAGTTCTTAGTAAACCCTTTGTCGACAATCGCTACGAACTATGGACGAATGTGACCGTTTGAAATCAGTATTCTCACGGTTGAAGTATCTTGTTAATTCTACAAACATCTTGTTAATTCTACCATCAAAAGCTTCGTTGACTCCAAAATTTGCGACCAACAGCAGCCTTTATCACCACTTCAAGAGACAGACGACACGATTCGAGTGGTTTTACCACTTAAAGACCAAGTCTCAGCAGATATTGTGAGGAAACAGCCTAAAAGTACACACCACCATCCAGCCTGTGTTTGTGAGCCGGAAAATTGAACAAGAATTAAATGTGAAGGAACCAAAAGCCACCGATTGTAAATCAGCAGTGTGTTGTTTACGGTTTTCTAGGTGACCTGTGTGTTGCGGGTTATGTAGGTTACACACGCGGACATTTACATAATCGTGTAAAAGGACATAAACAACAATCCTCCGCCATTGCCAAACACTATAAGAACATGCACGGGACAATACTCCAGGACCTGCAAAAGCGTTTTGAAGTGCTTAAGAAATGCAGAAACAAATTTGACTGCTTAGTGTACGAAATGCGTTTTAGAAGAGCGTTAAAGCTAAATCTCAACGTGCAATCAAACTCCATTCGTGTGAAAGTATTTTTTATAATATCCTCGCACTCTCTTATGTTAATTCTTCGCGCCATAAACGCCTTATGTGTAGCAATTTGCATGATCTTTTATATTTTCCTTGATAATGGAGTCATGACCACTCAGAAACGTCGGATTTTATCGTTCGTTTTTACAGTTTTATGTCTTAGGAAGTCTCTTTTGATACGGATTGTTATTATTATTACTATTATTATTATCATTATTATTATTATTGCTATTATTATTATTATTATTATTATTATTATCATTATTATTATCAGCATTTACTATTCGTTGCAAAATAAACATACTACACTTGCTGAAAAAGGTGACAATCTTGAATAAGCTCCCATTCTCAAAATCCAAAAATTGAATAAGCGACTATGGCGGATAATCGAATAAATACGGTAATTACTTTTCATTTAGAGTTCCTTAAAGCCTATCTCAATTGGAATGGAACTGAAAAACCACATTAAAAATCACAAAACTAACGGCCAAACTGGTCCAGAAGTTCGCAGTCAATCGTGAAGGAAAATTTTCAGTCTCGAGGCATTTGTCTGCTGACGTCATTGGCGTGCGTAATAGGATTATGAAGAAAAACATTTTTATCTCTTCTAATTGAAATTTTTGAACTCTTAGTTTCCTCTTCGGATTGTCAAGCCGCGGTGAATGACCTGTTTTTGTATTCAGGAAACGAATGCTCCTAAAAACACGTCACTTTCATCTTCATCACATAAGGCATAAAACCGTAAGCAAAGCGAAACCAACAAAACCTTCATTGGAAACAACAGAAAGAGAGCTGGGACGAGAAGAGTGACGTTAAAAATGAGCCCGCGATCTTTCTGTTCTGGTATAAAAATCAGTGCGGTGTGACGTCAAGCATCCCATAATATATTGTAGGTTCTTGTTGATCGACCGTCATGTCTTGGTCTGCCTCGCATGGCGAAGGTCAGGGTGGTAGCCTTTCTCGCTTGCAAACTCCATGCAGCACTCGCCTCAAGAGATTAAAACCCGCCTAGACCGTGTAGTAGATACTGATGGAAATGTGAGTAAATTTTCAGGTCTCTTGATTCTTTCTCTGCCGTGAAATTGACGGTTTTTCTCCTCACGGGTTGTTTGTTAGGTTTTGGACATGCCGGCCGTTCTTGAGGCAGTGACGATTTTAGAGCGCCTTCCCATAACGAAAGAGGCTCTTGAGGTAAAATTAACAAATTTAATTGTAACATTTTATATAAAATCTTAAAACTCTGTCAAACGGTAGAGTGATGACTTAATTTTACGGTTGTAAAACAATTGATGGTAAACGTCCGTGTTGTTAACCGCATGTGAAAGGATTCGAAGGAGGTCGCTTCAGATCTTCCGTAATATATATGAAACACTTCGAGAAGAGTTTTCCCCCAACCAACGATTGCAAAATTTAATTCTGTAATTTTTTTGTTGTTTCTGAAGTTTTTATTTTAATCACCGAGAGAGAGAATTTCTTACAATCAGCGTGGATAGGAACATCATGTACGGAAGTTTATTCTTTTCCGAGAATTTCTCAAGGTTGTCTTCTTGGAAATGAGAAACAGCATAAAAACGCCTTTATTTAGATTAATATACAGAAACATTTGTGATCAAACGGAGACCGTTTTCTTTTTTTCTTTTTGCGTGGTTTTAGCTTGTTCATTTTTTTTTTCAAAGTGGCATCGAGGGAATCGAAAAGTGAAATTTACATTGTGGAATCGAAATATACTGGCAAGTTTAGATCGAACGAGTTTTTTCTATTTAAGTCGAGTTCTGTGGTTACTACTAGAGTTCCGTTAATTGATAATTGAGAAGAAAAGCTAGTTTATTCTTTACTTTTCTGCTTTTGCACTATTTTAGGATACTTGCACGGTGAGTATTTGACCAACTTGCCGGAAGGTAGTCGTTCTTCTGGATCGTGATCGGATAACTCGCACTCCGTTCTCTTAACACCACACTTACAGAACTTGTTTTAAACGTCTCAAGATATTTTTCAGTCTAAAAAATTAGATTATTTTCTAGATGTCGTGAGATCATATTTTCATCAACGATGGTGAACGTATGTGTGAAACTCCTAATCGTCTCATCTGCCTACTCGCCTGTAAATTTGCATGAAGTGCCTCTTCTGAAAGCACCAGCGGAAATGCTTTACTGCTGCGTCCGTTTTCCACTTGTTGATTTTCATCACCTGGACTTTAACTTAAACTTTTAGTACTTCCAACCTGTTGTTGCTGGTGTTAGTGAAACGACCTTGATTGTTTTTATGTCTCGTATTTAAAGGGAAACCTGATGCAATGTTGAACATTGTAATATATGCGTTTGTTGTGAAATGGCAGTTGTTAAATTGTACTCAGTGTTAGTGAATTTGACCGTAAAATTGAATGGTTTATTTTTTCGTTTCTGGAATATTTTCAAGGGTCATAATTAAGAAAGTTATCTACACCTACAGACACTGGTCTAACATTTCTATTTCTCCAGAACACTGCCATCACATCTCTAAGAGATAAGGTTGTAGTAATGCATTGAAATTGTCCCAACGTGGACTGTCATTTTCTTGTAGGTCCTGCTTCGTGCCAGTCAAATATACTCTTGACTAGTTCTTTATCAAATTGCCTCCTGAGGCTTATCTGTCCTCACCAACTTCTCATAGAATTTCCCTTACTTTACTGACACCGGGTAATAGTTTGCATAGAAATTTTTTTTTTCCAGTTACTAACCAAATGGTTTTCTTTCTCAAAAGAAAACACGGTTGGGAAAGACAATCAACCTTCTTCGAAAGAAAACAAAAAATGAAGAATTAGCCAAAAGGGCCAAAGGACTTGTGAAAAAGTGGCAGAAGTTGGTGATGAACCACCTTGAGACATTGCGTAATGCAGACTCTCCAATTAATGGCAGTGGATTGTCATCACCACAGATAAATGGGACTGTTAGGGACCCTGAGAAACCTGCCTCCCCATCTGTTGACAGGGCAGGAAAATCAAAAATTCTCGAAGGAAAGAAAAGAGGGGTCAAAAGAAAACGTAATAGTTGTTCCAGCTCAGAAAACTCTCCAGTTGTGTTCTCAAAATCAGATGATTGTGAAAGTCATCCTGGAACTCCAAATTCTGGTGTACTACCACAAATTAAAGATATTCACAATCAAGGAAATATTTCAACTGTTTCTCCTTCTCAACCTCCTACACCACAGAGTGGAGACAAGAGTACTTTATCATTACAGAGCCCAGAAGAGAGCAATATCCTCTCAGTAGATTCAGGAATTGAATCCCAGCTAAGTGTCAAAACATTGGATGAATTAAATATTGAAAGTGGAGTAGCAACTACTGAATCAAATTGGAATGATCAGTCATCAGATGTACCAGAAAATCTCCCTTGTAGTTCACAGAAAATGCACGAGAATGTAACTGACACAGGAGAGGGTGTTTCGTTGCAATTTTATAAAACTTCCAGTGGATACAACAAGTCAAATAGTGTTAGTTCTTCTCATGATGATGACACAACAGAAGTGAACATATTGTCAGATCATCCTGTTGAACATGAAATACCCACATCACCTGTTGCCAGAGAATTTGTATTAGATGTAAATGTTCAAGCAAATGGAGTTACTGGGAGATTTGGTGATGATGGTTCCTGGTATGACTGGACAGAGGTTATGCCTTCTAGTGATGGTGCTCTACAAGTATTACCTTATGTGATACTTGAATGATGAAATTATCAACTCATAAAAATTCCTTGTCAAGATTGTATTTCGTTTTATAGTATAGAGACACTCATACATAGTGACAAGTAATTAGGACCTGTGCTTGCAATATGAATGCAATAATAAGCTAACTTCAGTGCAGTGTTGGATTTGATGTCGATACAAAATGTTGGATGCGACTCTGTTAGTTTTACTTTTTTGTTTGTCACTAGTTTCAGGTGAAAATTATTTATTATTAGTGTCACAGGTTAAATGTTACTTAATAAAAGATGTTTGCCACTAAGCACATGTAGAAGTTATTGAAAGGTAAGGATATGAGTGGTCTTGTTTTAGGAAATATTATTCCTGACTTTTAACCTCAAGATGTATATCTGGGTGAAGATCATGATGACAGTAACAAACAAGGTTTTATACCAAATATCATGGAATACTGACTGTAGAATTTAAGCTCAGCAGGATATCAGAAATTTGGAAGTTTTCCAATTTCCACCCTGTTTGCCTTTTTTTGCACAGCTGTTTTTCTTCAGATGTTCACAATAATTAATTTACATCTACTATCATTCAGTGTGAGCTTCAGTTTGCTTACAATTTCTTTAAGCTATTTCAGCACTGTTGCTAATGTTAGTTTGAAAGCCTAGATGCCCAGACAATTATCTGGTAGCTATGGATTAGTAAGTTATTTTCATTGAGGATAAGAAAAAGATTTGGTGAGGGTGGAGAGTCTTAAAGAGAAAAGTTGCTTGGAATCTTGTGGAGATTGGTTGACTTTCCATTTTCATCCGAAGCAATACACAACTTTTTCTCTGCTTATGAGTATGCAAATTTAATTTTTTTCCTCTAATGTAAGCCTCGCAATTTCTTTTTTATTGCTTAAAATTGTCACCATTACTAGCTTGCCCTTCTAGCTGGTAGACCATCCTCATGTCTACTTGTTTTTCTTGTATTTTTCTTATATACACATTGTCTGTTCTTCTGAAAGAATAGATGAAAGGGAGGGTGATTCTCTCATAAAATGCAATTAGTTACTTTAGTCCATGTGACTTTATGATTACATTGGAAGAAGTACTACATCAATACAAGTTTGTACTAGCATTCACAGGGCATTTTAGGATTAAAGTGTTCTTGGTGTGTAATATGCATCATAGCAAAGAAGGGTGTTTTATGTTACTGCACCAGATAATATTTGAAGGGAATTTCATTTGAATAACAGTCTGCATGAACATAGGTTGTAATATGACCTGACACTGTTTGTTTTCTTCCTTAAAGGTTAAGATGCAAACCACTGAGGTTGCATTTTGATAAACTGAAATTTGCATTCAATTGTTTTTATGGAGTTGTTGGGTTTCCCGAGAGTATATTCCTATGAAGGATTTACATTGTCGAAGTTAAGGTTGAAAGCTTAACTTAGCTTAATGTTTGTACAATCATGTAAATAATCCGTAACAACCTTCTTTGAAGGAATTCAAAAGATGTGTATTCAAAGTGATTGCAGGTCATTAATAAATATAATTTCATGTATTTATTATCATCCAGTTTTAATAAATAGTCTCATTTAGCCTTAGAGGATTTTCTCTCAGAATCCTACAATGATGAAGAATACTTTGTTCCCTCTTGATTCTGGCATATCTAGCCAAATTGAACCATGCCAGTTATACTGCATTACATTTTATTACTGATGAGGTTATTTGTAATGGTGTAAACCCCACCATTTTGGTATGCAGCAAAATAATTTGTGCAGCTCGTAACTAGTTATTGTTCTACATACAAACTATGCTGGGCTGACAATTGAAACCAGAAATTTGTGGAAAGACATCTTCCTTGTACTCAGTCCAGTAGTTTTAGTACAACTCAACTTGAACATAATCTGATGGGTCATTGCAGACCACAATTGCAAAACTGGACTTTAAACAACTTGCAAAAAACATTTTCAAATAAAAGAACAGTTCAAAGGGTATGCATCACAGCCAAATGTTTGGCCAGTGCAAAGACAACTACAGCATCTGACTCAACTTTTCTTAAAGTCAACAGTTGGAACTTACATAGTATTTCAGGTGCTAGAAAAACACTGAAAAGGTGATTTGTCTTGTACTACAAAATACTGTGTGCAGATATTAATATAAATTTAACTATACACCATGAATACCAAGTCACTACATGACCATGCAACAGCTTCCCCAATCTGCAAATTTGTTGCAAATTTAGTTACGGTACCACAAGTTTTTTACTCCATTTGGCAACCAAAACAGTCACAGCTTGGAGCACTAACAACAGTCTTACACACTCACATTATGATTAACATTTTCCTGTTCACCATTCATTTGTACCCTTGCCAAGCTGTCTGACAACTTATCAGGTAGTGGAACACTGAAAAAGCATCCCAATCACAAGGAAAAACTAAAATACTTCTCACAGAATTGTTATGTCATCAGGAAAACCCACACCCACCATTAGATACCTCTCAAAATTCCTTGAAATGTCAAGATTTCCAGCCAGGGAAGTAATGGGGGTCTATTTATTAAGGGATGCACACATTTCCCTTGATTAATTAACAGCAATATCTATTCTGATTTAGACCTTCTTAACCCTTTAACCACCATGAGTGACCAAGACAGAATTTCTCCTTACAATATCAGTTCATCATCAGGCACACAAATAGTGAGAATTAAGAAAAACATCAGCAAGGGATTAGTTGATCCAATACCAAATTCTTGGAACTAACATCAGGAATTGTATATCAGATAGTAAGGAGAATTACTAGTGAGATCTTGGGAGTAAAAGGCTAACTCTCAAAAGTAACCAATATGTAATTTCTCCTTCCAATATAATTACATTGTCAAGCAGAAAGTTGATGATAAAAAAGAAGAACATCAACCTGCAAGTAATGGTTGATCTGACACCAAATTTATCCAAGTTCAAATTGGGACAAATGTCTGGCAGACAACTGACAGTTGTTACTATCAAAATTGACATTCACAGCACCTACTTTGCAATTAATTATAACACCAAACATAGTATTATCTTTTAGAACTGCCATTTCTTTGAAATGCATATACAACAGTTTTCATTTTAAATTATTGCTGCTTCTTAAATCACAACCAACTGCTAAAATTAATATGACAGTCATACACTTTATTAGCAAACACTTTTAATTACAGCAATGATAATTAATTCTAACTAAAAAAAAATCAAAAAAATATTTTTGGGTTAACTCCAAGAGGGATGTCTGCAAAATACATTCTAGCCAACAAAGTGACCATTGTTGTATCTTTTTTTATTACTGATCAGAATATTCAGCATATCATTACTAAGACAGGTAAATAAAATGAAGAAGTAAATAAAATGTCAGAATTCTAGTTACACTTTGCAGTAAGCAGAGGCAAGCATACAAAACTGTAGAATAATTTTGCTGTTCTCTATAGAGTGATTGACTTTCTTGTTAACATTTAGATACGAAGTATTCCTGTTACATCAATTTTTAATTTTCAGCTTTAGTTCTCAACCATCTTCACACATGACCTTAACAGTCATGTTCCCTCATAACAACAAGATAATTTCTTGTAAATTGTAAGCTTATCTCAAAATAGTTGTTATCAAACCAGCGTATATGTTGTCAACACAATAAGTAAGCTTAGTTTTGTGTGTTATTTGCACAATAAACTTGTGATAACTTTTAAATGTTGTTAGCTGATAACAACATTATTGCTTTCCATTACTGGTAAGTTTCTAAACATGGTTCTAATGCATTAATGGATCGATCAAACTATTGTTTTTGTCATACAGTGTACTAAATGTGGTTGGTGCATGTCATGAACAAAAGAAATTAAAATTGTGCGAGTCTTTGACATTCAGTTACTGGAAAGAGATTGCTCATAGATTACTAGAAATGCATTTTCAGTACCAAAGTTCCACACCCAGATTATTCATCTTTAGATGTTAATACTATGTTACATCTTTAGCTTAATAATCTTATTACCCTGATATTAAAGATAAAATATTATCTGCATTTATTACTGCAGATTAAGTAATTAATCTAATCCATATACAAACATCACATCTCTCAGAAAAAATATCCATGATCTTTACTTGTAATGGTACTTGGTATCTTGTCACTGAAAGGATGAAATATGATAGTGTTAAATAAGTTATGATGCATACACTGCCCAATTACAAGAATGATGCATACAGTCCTATTAGTGCTCAAATTGGGCTGTTGATAACCAATTTTGTTCTAGTTTTGATTGAGCCCAAAATTAACGTGATGCATTAATTTTACAGATAGGCAAGGTAAGTAAATGATAAATTAATGTTGCTCAGTGCTAAAATCACAAGACCTCACACTACTGATTAAACAAAATATTCAGTTCATTTCACTGCATAAAAATGTTACAAATACAAAATGTACAGGTAAATACCTGTGATCTTTCTCAGGCAAAAGAATCTGCTTCATCGGATGCCACCAAGCTCTATAAAAATAAGAGGAAAGAGAAAAAAATAATTGCCTCTCATCCCAGATCATCAGGTATATTCAAAATTGATTGTATGAACAAGGATAACTACAAATCTGTTTAAATGAGTTAGATATCATACAATATTGTCCTGACATATTTTAATTGTGGATTTGAGAAGTGTGAGAACATAGTAAGTACCTAAGTGTATTTTCGATTGGTTTTATTTGAACCCAAATTATTTGCATGCTGCTGCAAAAGTTTCTTCTAACCCACATCAAGGTATTTCATATAGTCAGTTCTTATTATTTTGACTTAAAAAGTGATGCCACAGTTCCCTCACTGACAATGAAGACCATACCAATAAAATCAAATAAACTGATAATCAGAATAACCATAGTAATAATGCCAGTAATAAATCATACTGATTCAGTAGAATACTTATAGAATGCAAAATCTCAAATCAAGGTGGAGTGAAAATTAAAGATTCATCAAGTCAGACTGTGTATTTACGAGATTATGAAATTTACCAATCTTGGAGAAAAAAAAAATAAAAATACAAACCTCAAGGGTAAAAGCATTTCCGGATTGTGGCTTTCGTGGACTGTCACTAAATGGATCTTCACCTAAAACTCCTTTGTCTGCAAAGGGGTCACTTACATCACTGAAAGGATCAGCTGCAGAAAATGCTGCAAAAGAGTCATTTTTAAAAGGATCTCCACCATCAAATTCACCTTCCTCTTCTCCAAATTCTGATGGAAATAGTCCCGAGGATGGTTTTGTTGAAGCAAAAGGATCAACAGTTGTGCCACTTGACTTTTGAGGAAAGTCAAAGTTTGTGAAAAAGTCTTCACTGAAAGGATCAGAAAGGTCTTTGCCTTTCTCCCCAGAAGAAACTTTTTGTGAATTAGGCCATGATGTGGCCCAATCAGAAGAGCCATCTTGAGTTATCACTTTGTTATCATTAAACTTCTGATCAAATACATCCCCACCAAATGGATCTGGAAATGCCTCTTTTTTATTTGAAGAACTGTTATGCAATTTCTCATTCAAATCTACTCTAGGTGGCAAGGCAGGAGGGGTTTTCTTTGCACTTCCCTTCTTCCCTTGATGTGGAGAGTTTGACCCTGGTGACCCTGTGGATGTCTGGGGACTAATAGGGGACGTTCCAGGTGACAAGGTTGAGTTGGAACTTGCAGGTCTGGCTGGGAGAGGAGGGGGAGGGGCTGATATTACAGGGCGTGGTGGAAGAGGGGGAGGGGCAGTTGGAGAAGTGGAACGTTGGGAGATTGAAAAACTTGATTCCTGGATATGGAGCTCTGAAGGTTGTCCCTCTGAATTTCCATATTTTTCTTTCTTGACCACTTCCTCTTTGGAATCTGAGGATGGAGATTCTTCATTTGCAAAGGTAAGTGCATCGTCCATTTGATTCATATCATTAGTTGAGTCCTTATTTTCACCAGCCGGCAATTCACTTGATGCATTTTCTGCACCAAATAAAACATTTTCACTTAGATTACTGATTTCAGGCTCTGAGTTTTCATCACTTTCCTTCATGTCTGCCTTCTCCTTCTTGGTGTCTGGTCCTGGAAAAGCAATCTTCAGCTCTTCACACAGATCTTCAGATTGATCACCAGATCCCCAAGTATCTGAGACAAATGTGTCGCTTTCAGATTTGGATGCCAGAGTTGGAAGTGCTTCATCAGGAGGAACATCAGCTTGTGACCCTGGTTGTACAATAGACACTGAGCCACCTGACTCAAGATTATCAAGTTTAGCATGTTGTGATGCTGGCTGATCACTTTGTTGTAACTCATCAATTGGATCACTACTAGACTCCACTGTTGATGATGCACAAAAAGGATCACCAAATGGTGATGGGTCAAATTGCTCATTGCTACCATCTGCACCAATTTTACCAAAGGCATCATCCCAAGAGAAAGCATCCTTTGCTTGGTTCAAAGATTCTTTTTCAGCTGCAACAGCTCCACCAAAGGCATCATCCCAAGAAACTCCTGTTGAAGTTTTAGGATCAGCTTTTGGCAAAGTTTCAACATCCTCAGAAGTAAAACTTTCCATCCAAGAGAACTGCCCCTGTGTTGTAGTGGTGCTCTGAGTTGTTTCGGCTTGAGAAGTTGTGTTTCTATCTCCAAATGTATTGTCCCATGAGAAACTCACAGCTGCCTTTTCAACAGTCTTACCTGAGCTCTCAGACTCAACTGTTTTCTCATCACCATTGTCTTCCTGGCTGTGATCTTTGACGATGGCAGGGTTGTTTTGTTGTGGAGTAAACTGACCAGAACTTGAAGCTGTATCAAAACTGCTTTCTGAGACAAATCCCTCTGCACTTCCAAAGGCAGTGTCCTTTTCTTGAGGACCACTTGAGGCAGCAAAGGGGTCATAAGAGGAGGGGTTCTCTTTATCACTTTTCACTTCAGCTTTATCAAATGATGCATCAAATGTTGCAAATGACTCGGTGAACAAGTTTTCACTGGGAGACTGGGTTATTTCATTCAGTCTTGTGGACCCATTTGATGGTGCAAAAGGGTCAGAACTGCTTTCTAAACCAGCTGATGTCTCCAAAGCTGATTGCATTTCAAATTGTTCTTCTCTCTTGGTATCAGTAAAAGGAGGGACAGGAGCTGGTTTGTTTTCAAGTCTTTTACTTTCTGGTGACTCATCTTCTCCCTGTCCATCATTGTTACCAAAGGAAGGTGTCCATACATTTGTATCCTCAAAGGCAGTTGCAAATTCAGCTTGAAATCCTTCATTGGGACCCATTTGATTCAACAAAGAACCACTCCTTGAATGTCCACTCTTGGTGTGCTGAGAATGTGTCTCTGATGACCCGGATGACACTGAACCACTTCTCACCACTGACATATCAGCTGATGCCACAGATACTGTGTCTGCTGCTCCTGATTCACCCACAGCATGATCAAACACAGACGAGCCGAAGAAAGCCAAGTCAGCACTGGTGCCATCATGGGCAGGAAATGGTGACTCCACAGATACCTGTGAAACTTGATCAGGATCCTGCAAAGGCAAAATGTCTCATTCACAAATATCATGAAGGCAACAGGAAGGGAGGCTTGGTGGTGAGAGCAGTCTCATTCACCTGGCATCAAAAAGGGCTAAGTTTACAATTGGTACTCGTCCTTGCTCCAACAGTTTTTCACACACTTCATTATATTTCCCCTTAGAAAACACTAAGAATTCAAATTCCAATTGAATCACGTATCAGGGATCAAAGAGACATTACATAAATGTTCTACTGCCAACCCTTTAATGCTGCACAACCTAAACATTTGCTTTCTTTATCCTCCCTGTTCCTTGTGGCTCTTTGGACTTAAAGCCTGATGAAATCTGCATTCACTGCAAAATGCTGTTAGCGATAAATACCTTATTTGTGAATGCTGAACTGGGAAGAGAAAAGGAAGCTGGGAAACCTGTTGAGGGTGCAGTCTGTGCTGTCTGTAAAGCATAACATGGAAGACAAATTACATAATAATTATAGAATGAAAAATGTCTTGCGAGTATTGTTATAACACATTACTACCTATAATTCAATGGTCAATCTCCATTAAGTGAGTCATTATGGAAATTTGATATAAAATTTATGACTGAAACAACCCCTTGTTAAAAAATTCTTTTTTTTCTCTGCTACCAATAACATGCATTGTAGATAATACCAAGGCCTACCAAATACAGTGGAACCTTGATTTAATGACGTGCCAAGGGACGGGGAAAATGGTTCGTTACATCGAGGGTTCATTATATTGGGGTTCTGTGGCATACATTTTACTGCAACTTTAACCTGGCTGAAACTGTAGTATTGTTTGGTATACCAAGGACTTTGTTATATAGAGGTTAGTTAAATCGAGACCCAAATAGTGAACTCTATTCACACAGATGCAAGTAATGTTGGTTAGTACTTTGTCACATTAGTCAAGAGTACCTTTACCAGACTGTCTCTTAATTGTTAAAACACAATGACCCATTCACGAACTCAGTGGGAGTTCAAAGGTCAACTGTAAACAGACTAACCTCAGGTTCCTCTCTGTAACTTTCAGAGGGAGGTTCTAGAAGTTTTGACTGAACAGGTGGAGTCCTTGGAACCTAATGAAACATGAAAACATCTCAGTTGGTGATCTTGTCAAATTGTGCATTAAAGTAACCTAAGAAAAATAAAAATAATGATTTTGACATAGTACATCAGGCTACAAGTTGTCCTCTATGCCACAATTAGTATAATTTCAGAGCTGACTAAAGAGTTTCCAGCAATCTGATTGGTTGAGCAGTTCCTTATATGATGCTATATAAACTGCTCCACGCGGTTTATATAAAATGTTAAAATAAAATGTTAATAAATGTTACTAAAATGTTATGATTTTAGAAAATTCTCTGTTGTTCAGCTCTGAAATTATACTAATTTAAAAACAATTAATTGCCTCAGGTTTGGTGAATATTGTTGAATAATCTCCTCGACTTCGTCTGGGGGATTATTTGACGATATTCACCTCGCCTTTGCCAAATAATTGTCAATTACAACAAGAAAAAGTAATCTAATTATTTTAGTCTTCAAATTGAGCATTGCTAGCTTTTCAGAGGAAAAATTCTCTTCAGACTTAGGATGACTTACTTTATAATGTGGATCAACTTTATTCACTGGTGAGGCCACTGTTTCATATTCATGATCAGCTTGTGCACTGGGTGTGGCTTGTTTGTTTTTACCATTTTTATAAGGCACCTGGAGAAAAGCATTTGCACATGCATGTGTAACTCTCAACATATTACAGACTGAAAATCACAAGGCACTATTCACTTTTGACTTTACATCTAACCTGAGTGATATTTGTACAGTCAAACCTTATCAAGCAGTTACCCACAGGGAATGGTCGGGTGGCGGCTTAATACAGATTAACTGCTGAAAACAAGTTCCACAGAATAGGGGTATTATAATAAAAAATGATGAAACCCATTTTATGCCAATAAATTTTACAACAAAGATTATCCTTAGTTTTACTTTAAGTGCGTATTCAAAACAAGTATAAGACAATACAACCACCTCCCGGTCAGCTCAATGGATAGAGCGCTGGACTGTTGTGCAGGAGGTCGAGGGTTTGAGCCCCGGCCGGACCAACACTCAGGGTCTTATGAGACGAATTTGCTACCTTTCTATAACATCAAGAAATGGTTAGATATTCTAGTCTTCTCGGATAGGGACAAATAAATGGAGGTCCCGTCTCCTGCAGGGTTGGGGTAGGAGACGTTAATTTCCCACACACGAGATTACTGTGTGATGGATGTCCTCCCCTGGGGTGGGATGGGTGGGA